CTCGGTTCCCGCGACAGGTGGTCGAGTCCTCTGGGGAACACCCTGTGACCCCTGGGCATGACAGCGCGGGAAAGGGGTCATGTTGGTGGAGAAATTGAGGTTGGGGAGTTTCCCTGGCTCCGTCCAACCGAAGGAGCTGGGATGGAGGCAGGTAAGAGCCAGAGAGTACATCCTCCTCCGGTGCCAGAAACTCGGGGCTATTCCAGTAAAGCTCTTTGCAGCCATCTCCCTCCTCCCTACCTCCCCCCCCCAAGTTTTACTGCAATTTACATTTGGACAACTGACCGATTTACTGCTGGAATTTTTAAGTGTGCTCAAGGTCTTCCAGTGTTCCCCTTTGAAGTTAGGTTCATGCCCTGTATCTAAGCGTTGCAGATTATAATCATTGCTTTTCAGAGCTGTGGTTATTCTTCATTTGATCACATCCAAGACATAATTTGAACAGAAACACTAAGGGTTTATTCTTCCCTTTCCATGTATAATATTTAGGAATCTGAACTTGGGCTCCTAATCCTTGCTACAAAATTATTTAAAATTCAAGAGCAAATGAAGATCATGAAAAGTTTTTCTCATTTTTAAAAATGCTTGAATGACTTTTTAATTCTAAATGAAACTGGTCAATTTATATTAAGAAACGTGTTTGTTTCCTTGGCTTCAGATTTGCCACACTCTATTTCAGAGTAATTGATGAGAGCCAGTGTGTTAACAGACTATATATAAATACCCGTATTTCAAACTAAATATAGTACCAAGTAATTTAGAGTGCAGTATCTTGTCTCAAGTGGGAAACCGTTTACGTGTTTAACGCACAACAGAATTTGGTAGAACCACAGAGTGGTTTTGAACTTAATTTTGGACATAAAACACAGGTTTACACTTGTGTTTGTGTTGTGTTTAGGATGATATTTGAAAAGAACAGGCTGTCCCTGGTGTTGCTTGCCTTTAATTCCAGCATTTGGGAGGCAGAGGGAGGTGGATCTCTGAGTTCAAGGCCAGCCTGGTCTACACAGAAAGTTCAAGTACATCCAGGGCTACCAGAGAAACCCTGTCTTGGAAGAAAGAAAAAGAGAGGGGGGGAGGGAGAGAGTGAGAGACTGACTTTAGCCATTTTCTTTCTCCCTCTCTCTTTTTTGTTGCTCAGATATATCCCCTTTTCTTAAAAATAAACTTTTCTGTAAAAGTAACATTATAAAGCAGTATTGTAATTTATAGTTATTTATCCAAGTAAAGTGAAGCAACTTTTACAAAACAGTTTCAGTAAGAACCTTTTTTATTGCTTATGTAACATATGTAGGACACAAACACCTTTGTTGAAGTAGTGTCAGTGACTTTAAAAGCAGTATTTGGCTGTCCTCAAGGAAAGGGGAAGTATGGGTGTCAATTTAAAAGGGAAGGACACTCCACTTTATTCCCAGAACATGCAAAGGGGAGAGTCGGGATATTAAGTTCTAAGAGTCTCATAGCATGGGCTCTGTAGTTAGGATGAATACTAGCACAATCCTAGGTGGCAAATAAATATCCAAAGTGAATAGAAATAATGGCTGTGCTAATATTTGAAATGCTGTGTTCACTTCTCTTTGTCTTTCAAAGTCAATGCCAGATTAACCTTCATGTAGAGCAGCAGGTCATTACACAGTTGTTTTATAGCATAGATGCACTTTGCAGTATAATTAATATAAAAACCAAGAGATGGCTCTTTTGTACTTGAAAATATCAGCGAGTGTCATTTCAGTTTCTTACGTTGAACTGCCTGTGTAAACAAGGAACTGAAGCATAACTTGTAATTGGGGAGGTAGAAAGAGGCTTACATTAAGAATAAAACCAATTGAATTTAATATGTATCTAGTTTTATGAGCATGTTAATTTTGCAAACTGATAAGCATTTCTCTATGGCAATTATATCTTTTAATAGCTTTAATTTTCATTTATGATTTATTACAAGGTTTTCTTATAACACAGGTAGAAATTAATATAATTAATTAAAGGCCCATCAGATGGTCATTCTATACCTTAAAAGGGGGATTTGGCTGTTTTTTTTTAAGATTGTTCTGATTTTATATATTCAAGTGTCTTATGTATGTAAACTGGAGTTACAGGCAGTTGTAAGCCTCTGTGTGGGTGCTGAGAACTGAACCCAAGTCACCTTCAAGAGCAGCAAGTGCTCTTAACCACTAAGCCATCTCTCCAGCCCCCATATCTATTAAAAACTAATAAAAAGCCTAGGTATTCAAAGCTCATTTCTTTAAAAAAAAAAGATATTTGCTGTGTGTGTGCACACGCACACACGAGCGTGCATGGTCTCTCTCACATGTGTGTGGCCACTCATAGCATAGCATGTGCGGAGATCAGAGAGCAACTTTCTGAAGTCAGTTCTCTCTCTCCACCCTTCTGTGGGTTCTTGGGATTAAACTCAGGTCTCCAGGCTTGAATGGTACTATCTTGCTTTCTGTCCCAGGTTTTGACTTCTTCAATGATCTTTTCAGAGACCATGCATATTTTCAGTGCCACACAAATGCATTATATTGTTGTTGTTGTTATTTTCATATTGGGAGGCCATCTAACAATGTAATTTGACTCTGTCAGTACATTTATTTTCATTTAAATGTATCTTCCATTACATGCTTCATTTTGCACTTTTAAAATGCAGGATGAAGACACTGTTTGAAGAGATCAAAGCATCAATTAAAAATAACTATAACCAAGATCGATCATTTTGGAGGCCTGTTCTTCCTTGGGGAGGAGTTTTTACTATCAAAGCTGGCCGCAAAGCAGTATCCTGTACACCCCTCTATGTTGAAATCAGACTGAAAAATACCTGCACCATAGATGGATTCTTGATGTTACTATATGTCATTCTTAATGAAAATGAAAGTTTCCCCAGGGAACTCTCTCTCCATTTTGGCAGGGAGTTTGTAGACTGTTTTCTTTATTTAATGGACACCTACAGTTTTACAACTGTGAAGCTGCTTTGGATTTGGGACAAGATGGAAAAACAGCAATACAAATCTGAAGTTCATAAAGCTTCATTAATAATTGATTTGTTTGGGAATGAGCATGATAATTTTACAAAAAATCTTGAAAATCTCATGTCTACCATTCAAGAGAGTTACTGTTCTAACTGGCGCTGTCCGACCCGAGTTCAGGAAGATCAGCAGCGCACAATTAGTATAAAGTAAGTTGCTCTCAATTCTATTCTCTTCACATTCCGTTTTTAATGAACTTTGCTTAGTTGCATGCATCTATGTACAAAACCACCTGATAACTTCTTAGTAGAAAAAGAAAGATACCCAATATTCAAAGTGAATCATTCTTGGTCCTAGTTTACAAAGTTCTTTATGCCCTCTTAAATGTTTAAACTTCAGTGTTTTAGAGTGTTTTATCTTTTGAATGGTAAACTAGTCTGTCAAGACTAGTTCTACATAAACAAGAAAACTAAAAATACTCTTTTGTGGCAAGGCCAGAGAATATTTATAGTTAGGAACTCCAAATTTGGCTTCTCATATCTGGAGAGGATGTGACTGAGAATCTCTAGCATTAAGTGCAGACGGTGCTGGGGGTAGCTGAGTGGTTTTGGCTTTCATCGAGAACACAGACTTTCATGATGCTGAATGATGGTGGGAAAAGCCACGCTGAGAAGACCTGGTGGAGTGACGGCAAACATTAGCTGTCTCAGGACTGGTAGGGAAAAGGACTGATGCCACGAGTGAATCCAGACATTTCCAGACGTGAATTTGGCTGTAGTCAGGAAAAACAGCTTACTAGTTTGGAAATGCACATTGTACATAAGCATATGTTATCTATTTTCCTATATTGCTGATAAGATGGAGTTGATTTGACACCCCCGAGGGGGAGTTTTTTCTGTCATAATGGACTAAAGTGCCTCATAATTTAGTTTGTTTTTTTAGAATTAGCATCTTGTCAATCGGTAAATGTTTTACATCTATAATTTGATACTGTTTTGTATTTCCCTCACTTATGTCTTTCATCATACTGTAGACTTTTAAGCTTATTTTTTGTAATCTTTTTATTTAAAGCAGGCTCTGAAGTTTTCAGAGCAAGCATTTCTAACAGATGAGGCAACGAAAACAAGGCACAATTGTTAGTGGGCTTACTCTACTAATCAGCTGTTGTCTGGAGTCTGCATCCAACTTTCTGCTCACCAGAAATCAACTGCTGAGACACATTTTTTTTTAAGTTAAAGAAGCAATAACTGTATACATCAGGATCAGTTTACAGGAAACTTTATCCAGGCGATATTTATTGAGTTCAACTGCTTCTATAGTATTTGCCTAAAACACAAGCCTGGTCAGGTATACTCTTGCATGACTGTAATGCCAACATGCAGGGAGTTGAAACCAAAAGAAGGATCATTGTGAGTCTGAGGCTAGCTTGGGCTACAGAGTGAATTTCAGCCAGCCTGAGCTAAGATTGAGATCCTGACTTAAAACAGCCCCAAACCAAGATATCACAGGTTGTGTGTTTCATATCATTTGTTCTGCTCATTGTACCCTAGCCTCTAAAATTTATCATTCCAAAAATGAACTGAACTGTTCAAGCCATTCTTACTTGCATTTTGCTATTGTAGTCCTCCCCAAGAAATTCCACATGGAAACTTGATAAGACTGGCTGTGGATGAGTTATTCTGTTCCAAGATTGAACTTTGTGAAGAGCGTGGGTGAGTATAGGATAGACATTTCAAAATATTTCTATTGTGTTAGAAAGAAATCTAGACTGGTAAGATCTTTAAAATTAATATACTTCCAAAACAGCAGTGCGTAATAATACATGTAGTCTAACAGTTTTTCAGTGTTCCTAGTCTAGTTTAGTATGTCATCATATGTTGTTTTGTTATCAGATATAAATATACAATATGGTACTATTACCCATTGATGAATACAAAGCAAACACCTTTCTCTTTTTCCTCATTGCTGAGTAGGTACAATAAAACCTTGGTTAACCGGAACCTGGCTAATCAGACCCTCAATTAAATGGACTTTTTTTTGCATTCCTCATTTAGGAGAAAGGTAAATGAAAACCAAAAAAATTTAATATGGTAAAAAAAAAGTCAAAAGGGGCATAAATCCCAATCATTTAGCAATTTCTATGTCCACATTATTTTGTGCATTAAAAGTTACTATTTAGAAGTCTTATAATACCATAAAAGATCATAAAATAATGAAAGATAAAAGATACACTGATTATTTTTAAAACCCCCAAAAGAGAGAGAGAGAGAAAGCATACTTTAGCAACATGTTCTGAAGCATATGATTTTCTGGTTAACTTAGTGTAGTCAGTAATGTTTGTCAACCAGAAGTCTGTGCCCTGAGCATTCCGGTTAATCGAGATTTTACTGTAAAGTTGTATTTTGATCCATATGCTTAATACTTATTAATACCAAAGAGAGAGAGAGAGAGGATTTGCTTCATATTAATAGAAGATCCTAAGCCTAAAAAGGTGGCATTTTCTTCCTCAGTTATCAAAACCATCTTGAAGAGAAAACTGTATATATAAATAACAGCTATTACAGTGGTTCAACAGATTCATGCTTTTATAACTTTTAATATAAACAATCAACTTTTCTAGGAGTTTTTCAAGCATCACTTCTAGTATAGAGAATAGACTATATAAACCTCCAGGACTAGGAAAATAAGATAATAAAACAGAATAGAATCTAATCTAATATCTAATAGAATATCTATGCTTACTCAGAAATTAAATACAGTTCAGAAGTGTTGAAAAGCCATTTGTCACATGTATGATAAAGTTCATGCCCACTTTTCATTTTAGGTGTGGTGGTTTAAGAGAATTTTCCCAACGAATTTTCTGCCATGGGGCACCCCCTTTTGTTGTGTTAAATATGCAGCATTGGAAACCTGAAGATCTGGCTTATGTACCCTATTACTTGGATTTATCTGATCACAAGTAGGTAGTGTTTGTTTATTTGCCCATTTTATGAAACTAGAAAAAAAACTTCATCTGCCATGATTTTTACTAGCCATTAAGAAGATATTGTTAGCTGAATATGGTAGCACACACCTTTAATCCCAGTACTCTGGACTCAAAGACAGGTGGGTCCAGGTGAGTTTGAAGCTAACCTGTTGTACCTAGGGAGTTCTGGACCAGTCAGAGCTACACAGTGAGACCCTGGTTAAAAAATATAGTACGTTAAGAAAAAAATCAAGGCTTTCTAGATTCTGAGATTTCTGGATTCTGGGATCAGAGTCCACGTTGAGGAAGCCTGTTACTAACAGCATGCATAATGATTAGACTGTTTTCAAACCTAGTCCTGCCTTTTACAAGATCTGTGACATCTATCAGTTGTCTTACTGATAAAGCAGAAATGATAGTGTACATCTGGAAAAGTAAATGCATTTTTAAAAGAATGACTTAAGGCCGGTTTATCCTAACAGTTTTTATACATTGTCATGGAATGTGCAGGTATTTGCTGGAAGGTGCCACTCTGTTTAACAAAGAGGAACATCATTATTCTGCAGCTTTCCAGATTGATGGACATTGGATGCACTATGATGGCCTCAGAAATGTGAATTTAATTTTGTTAAATAAACCCCCAGAGTTTCTCCTCTTGTCATCATTGGTTTATATTCGAGCAACAGAGAAATAAATATAGACTGATGCTGAATAAAATTGTTCTCCCGCTTGCCCATGCTCCCCTAGATGAAGGGCTCTTGTTCTGTATATACTTGGTATCCAAGGAAACAGTTCAACTATACTAGTTTCAGAGATGTATTTTTCATTGTTTTGCCCCAGGTAAATGTTTTATATGGAAGATCTATGCAAAAAATGTATTTTTAAGTATTTTCTGGGTTATTTTTATATAAGCATATGTTATGTTCAAATAAAATGTATTTCGTGGCCTTTGTAATTTTTATTTATATATACCTCAACAGTTTTTACAGTTCTATCCTTAAATCCAAGAAAATACTTGTCATTTCAATTCTAAATTTTCCTTTTTAGGTACCTGAGTAAATCCTAGGGTAAAAGTCAGCATTTTGGTTATCTGACTATTTCTTTGCCTTACCTCCAAAGTGCACTATTGGATTCAGTAGGATTTGAATGTGCAGCTCATGGATGAGTTATTTTACCCATTACTTAGTTTATTCTACATTTTGCCAATTTCCTTGTAGCAATTTAAAAGCTATATACAAAAATTTTCTGTAGATTAAACCATTTCTTTGTAGTAGCAAGTTACTGTAACTGTTGCTGAAGTGTACATCCACCAGTACATTTCAAGCATTAAGTAAGCCTCTGATTTCAGTTACTGTAAGCATTACAAACACATTACATAGCAATCCTAAATATCTTACCGTTAAATGTAACAAAAATTCCCCAGTAAGTTATTTTGCAGACAAGGCAACTATCAAAAGTATTAGGCAACTGGATATTTATTAGTGTTGGACTAATAATAGAAATGTATTTATGTATTTAAGAGGAAAATGGAGAATCTAGTAATTTTTCTAGTTTAGTTTTTTTTTATTGGTACAAAAGAAAAAATATTTTTAAAAAAATCAGTAACATCTGGCTCTCTGGAAACTCCTCATTGACATCAGGAGGCTTGGGTGTGTAATGCCACGGATGCAGAATCAAAGCATTTTACAGTTAGCAGAGCTTCATCTTTTGTTATAAATAACCTAAAGTCACTATCTTTTTGCAATTTGAAGGGAAAATATTTTCAAGGAAGAATACTTGATGAAGTATTAATTTTAGTGTTTACATTACAATAAAATAACATTGTTTATACTTGGGGATAAGATTTGGTGCAGTATATCTGAAGACTTTACATGACAACAGAGTTCACTGCCAAATACCAAACTGCTAAGGTTTCATTATAAATCTTCCATTGCTGTGGTGCCATGTTGAGATAACATGCTGTAAGAGTGGGAAAAGGTGGGTGAAATCTTGCTAACACTGTCTCATTTGAGTAAATATTATTAAAATTATTTTTAATATAAGAATAAGAATGGCATTTAAAAAATAACCCAGGGTTTATCTAAATAAATCCCCAAATATGGTAAATGGAATTTGATTTACAGCAAGCTTTTCTAGTAACAATGTATTGCATGAATCAAACTATACAAAGCATAGATACTAGTGTATACATACATATATACATACATACATACATACATACATACATACATACATAGTATGGTTACATTATTAATGACTTAAGTTGTTAATGCAGATTCTTCAGGGAATTGCACTTTATTTGGAACATTAGTTTATTGTACAATGACTTACCTACCTCACAGGGTTGTTGTGAGGGTAAAGATGTTAAAATTTTTACTACCTTGAACATGCTAATAAAAATATTTCTACCTCTTTTGTGTATAGGCAGTCTCCCAGATTGTCTCTTACAAACTTTTTACCATTTAAAAAAATTATTTAGGTATTCTTTTTTTTTTTTTTTTGGTTTTTCAAGACAGAATGTCTCTGTGTAGCTTTGGAGCCTATCCTGGCACTCGCTCTGGAGACCTGGCTGGCCTTGACCTCACAGAGATCCCCCTGCCTCTGCCTCCCGAGTGCTGGGATTAAAGGTGTGCTCCACCAACGCCCAGCCTATTTAGGTATTCTAATATCATGAAAAAAATTAGTAGTAGCTCATATCACTAATGTGTGGTGGGATTTAAATATGGCTTCTGGGCCCTGAGTGGTTGGAGTTGAAGAACAGGTCACTGGCTTTTAGAAAAGAAATTACCCACAACTGGCAATCAGTGGATAAAATCAAACAAGATCAGCTAGAATATCCATAGAATGTGATGGTGGAGAAGAAGGATATTCTTTTTAAGTTAGACACCCTTTGAGAAATCAAGCTGAAGAAAGAGAGTCAGAAGAAAGGGAATATTTTCTTTAATCAAAATGCCACAAACTACCACTTAAAGGGGAAGAAGTAATTTTATAGATTTATCTACAAGTGCATGGGTTAAGGTGAACGGTGTCACCTTCCAATTAATGCCAATCTGAGATTTACTTACTAAAAATGATTTTTATGCATGTGTGTTTCTATGTAGTGTGTATACATGTATGTGTTAGCTTGTGTTCAGTACAGAAAAGGTGTGTATGCATGCATTCATATGTGCATGTGTTTGTATATGTGCTCATATGTTAGCTTGTGTGCACTACAGAAAAGCTTGTGTATGTACGCATGTGTTTGTGTATATGCATGTGTGTTAGCTTGTATGAACTACAGAAAAAGTATTATCTTTGTTAAATAAACAAGGGATTGTGCAGTAGATTGCCCCAGTTCTTGGATTAGGCTTGTATTATTTAACATGTCTTGCTCAAATTTTTTATAAATTGAAATTTGCGTGTCGAGTTTTTGGTTCTATTTAGGTTTTTTATTTTGCCAATTCATCCATTTTGGGAAGTCTATTGAGATAGACAAGGCATCAGCTCATAAAGCATGTTCGCCTGGCAATCCCACTTCTAGTGATGCCAAGCGTAACAGTGATTGATCATGCTGTGCTTCAAATCTGTGTAGCTTCAGCAGCTCTTGGTGGTTGCTGCTGGAGTTGTGGATGATTTACCAATCCTGTTGTCCTTTCAGTATTTACTTTCTGGGATTCTGCAAAGGAAGTATTTCAAAGCAATCATTTGATTACCTGATATGTAAAAGAAAGGCAGTGGAAAAGGTTACTCATTGCTTATTTCCTTTCACCTTAATGGACACATTGAACTTTTTTTCCATATATCAATTTATTTATTCATTGGGAATTTCACATCATGCACCCCAATTTCACTAATTTCCCAGTCCCCTGATATCTACCCTTACAGCATCCCCTTCAAAATTTAAAAAAAATCAAACCAAACAAAGCAACCTCTTTAGTCCCCAGTCTTTCCCTAATACCTCTTCGTTCATCTCAGTGGCACTGGGAGTCATTGTGTATCACACAGTATACCCTTTTGTTCAATCAGCTTTACTTGCGGATGTTCATTGCAGTGAATCATTGGTCTGGTTCAAAGCCCCTGGTTTATGGTACATCATCAATAGACTCTCACGAAACTCCTCTTGGATGTCTGCATGGAGATTCTGTGGGTATTGTTCCATAGGATCAGTCTCTTCACTCACACCAGCAGGTCCTAGATGGGGTAGATGTTGGGGTTGACCAACCCAAGACCCGGTTGTGAGCCTGGGTGTAGCTGAGCTACTCAGTCTCAACTACTGGGGCCAACTACATCAGGTGAGGGGCAGAGACAGTCTTCCTATGCCCAGGCCAAGAGGTCCAGTTCTCCCACACCCATGTTGAGGGGTGGGTCCATCTCTTGAGTGGGAGGGGCAGCTCTTCCATGAGGATTAGAGCCAGCTCTCTTGCTGCTGTATCCAGTAAGAGGCAGGGCCAGCTATCCCAGGATCAGTGAAGGGCGGGACCAGCTTAGCATGGCCCTCAGACTTCAACACATATTTCTTCTGGCCCCCTGTGGTAACACGGGCCACAGACACCAACACAGACCCCAGCTGCAGCAGGACCACAGACCTAGACACAGCCCTTGGCAGAAGCTCAAGCCTGGATGAGACTATGGCTCTGGGTGGCAGCACGCACCACTCAGATCAGCATGGCCCTCAGACACCATCAAGGCTACAGGTCATGGCCCAGAACCCGGGCATTCACACAGACTTTGGAGACATGGACATCAACACAGACCCTGACTGCAGCAGGGCCACAGACCTAGAAATGGCCCTCAGCTGCAGCTGTGGCCCAGTTGTCACAATGGCACTGAGTAGCAGCACAGACCACTTGGATCAGTATGGCTCTGGCAGCCTTTGGACACCAATGAGGCCCAGCCTCTGGACTTCCATTTGGTTTTTGGTGGTAACATGGGACATGGATGCTAACACAGACCTGGGCTGCAATAGTACCACAAACCCAGACAAGGCTTTCAGCATCAGCCTAGGCCTGGGCATCACCATGGCCCCAGATGGCAGAGCAGGCCACTCAGATCAGTATGGCACAGCTGCAGCATGGTTCTTAGACAACAACATGGCCTCAGGTGGCAGGGCAGAGCCCAGACACCCCCACAGCCTTTGGTGGTAACAGGAGCCTAGGACATCAACTCAGACCCTGCATGAAGTAGGCCAGGAACCCAGACATGAGCCTCAGCTGCAGCTCCGTCCCTGACATCACCATAGCACTGAGTGGCAACTCAGGTCAGTATGGCCCCTGTGGAGGCACAGCCCTCAAACATCTACAAGGCCACAGGTGACAGCTCAGACACTGGGCATCCTTGTGGTTCTGGTGACAACATGGGCCATGGATGTAAACACAGCCCCTGGCCCTCTGAAGCAGCTCAGGGCTAGACATCACCACGGCCCCGGTGACAAGCAGGCCTCCCACATGATCCTATTCCTATTCCCTCAGCCCCTTCGCTTCTGCTCCACCTCTCTCCACAGCACACGATCCACTCTGCTTCTCTTTCTCTCCCATTTCTCCAGCCTACATTTGCTTGTCATAATGACACCAACCCACTGGGCACCACAAGGCACTGTGTAGGCCCATGGATGCCTTCCAATCATTCCAGGCCTTGAAGACCTAGGCTGGCCTGTAGCTGGCTAGCGCCTGCCTGAGCTGAATAGCATCAGGAGGGCCTGCCCTCACTGGGCACCACAAGGCACTGTGTAGGCCCATGGATGCCTTCCAACCATTCCAGGCCTTGAAGACCTAGGCTGGCCGGTAGCTGGCTAGCGCCTGCCTGAGCTGAATAGCATCAGGAGGGCCTGCCCACATTAAACTTTTTATGTGTTTGCTCATTTGGAGACAGAATCTCATTATGTAGCCCAGGCTGGCCCAAAACTTGACAGCCATCCTGTCTATGCCACTCCACGTACTGTTTTTTTCTGAAATATGTAGTACATTATCCATAGTCACTACACTACACAATAGAGAACCAGAATGCATTTTAACCAGTTAACTATAACTTACTACCCATTGGTTGACATTGCCTCATCATATCTGCCCCTTTACCAAAACACCATTATTTTCTCAACTTCTCTGAGGTCAATTGTTTTTCAGATTCCACATATGAGGTCTTACTCATGTTTGTGTGTCTGGCTTATTCAAGTTGACATACTGACAACCAAATCAATTCAACTTGCTTTAAATTACAAGATTTCATACTTTTTCATGAATGATGGTGTCTTGGTTAGGGTTTCTATTTCTTTGAAGAGACACGCACTGACCACAGCAACTCTTTTTTTGTTTTTCATACCAACCACAGTTTCCCCTCGCTTCTACTCCCCCATCCACTCCTCCTCCATCTCCATTCAGAAAGGGGCAAGCATCCCATGGGAGTCAACACACCCTGGCATATCAAGTTCAGGCAGGACCATGCTCCTCCCCCCTGCATCAAGGTTGGGCAAGGCAACCCAGCATGGGGATTGGGTTCCCAAAAGCCAGTTAAAGCACCAGGGAAAGGTTCACAAACACAGCAAGCTACACAACTGTTACCGACATGCAGAGGGCTTAGGTCGGTCCCATGCAGGCTCCCTAGCTGTCAGTCCAGAGTCAGTTCAGGTCAGCTGTTTCCCACAGCAGCCCTTAAAAAGGAAAACATTTAATTGGTGCTGGCTTACAGTTTCAGGGGTTTAGTCCATTATCATCCTGGCAGGAAGCATGGCAGCATGCAGGGAGACATGGTGCTGGAGAAGTAGCTGAGAGGCCTACATCTTGATCCACAGGCAGTAGAAGAAAAAAATGTGTACTGGGTATAGCTTGGACATGTATGAGACCTCAAAGCCCACCCCCACAGTGAGACACTTCCTCCAATAAGGCCACACCTACTCAACAAGGTTACACCTCTTAAAAAGGGGGAAATGTGGTGATGTTTGTGATCTAACAAATAAAGCTTGCCTGAATATCACAGTACAAAGCTAGTCACACTAGTTAGCCATAGAGGCCAAGCAGTGGTGGTACACACCTTTAATCCCAGCACTCAGGAGACAGAGGCAGACAGATCTCTGTCAGTACAAGGCCACTCTGGGCTACATAAAATTGATCCAGTCTAAAAGAGAAACAGAGCTCACACACAGGTTATCCCAGCACTTGGAGTGACACACTTTAATCCCCGAACTAAGAAAGTGTACACAGGAGTGATACAGCTGGGCAGAGAGAGGAATATAAGGTGGGAGGAGACAAGAGAGAGAGACAGTCTAGGCAGAAGGCAGTCTGAGGAATAGTGCAGTCTAAGCAGTCTGAAGAGGCAGTCTGAGCACTGGTAGAGGTACCAACTCTCTTGTGGCTGGGTGCTTTGCTTCTCTGATCTTCAGCAAACTTTATTTGCTAGATCATAAACAAAATGTCCAAGCATTCACACACTTGTCTATGGCACAATTCCTATT